TACGGAGATCTCTGAGTCACAGTGTAGAAGACTGTCTGCCTTCCAATTAGACTGTAATGTCAGTGAGATATAAAGCTTTTATTAAGTCACTAAGATTTGAGCGTCACTCTTCGTGGCAGTATTCTTATCCCAACATCCTACTTCCATTCTTGCCCCTCCCTGTGTCGTCTAGTCTAGAATCTTCAGAGGCCAGTATAATTTAACTACAGTACATATCTGAACATATCACCATGTACCAGCCTGCACACCAACAGGTGAAAATTCTTACATGCTTGCCATTGACTCTAGAAAAGTTCAAAATTCTTAAGATGGCCTACAAGGTCTACCCCTGTTAACATTTACCCTGATCTTTCCCTATTCATTCATTCACTTATCCATTTATTTATTCAATAAATATATATTAAGCACCAACTATACTTCAGTAACTATACTAGGTCTAGGGGTAGAGTCAGAGTAAGAGGGAAAGCAGGGAAATTACTTGGGAAGCTGTTGCATTCGTCCAGACAAAAGACAATGTCCCCAGTTTTAACACTCCAGCTCTGATGGTACTACAACAGACAGATCCAACCAGGTCCTGAGAGTTGGAGATTTCCCTGGAGGGAAAATGATGATCAAAAGCCAAATAGCAAGTTCTAATCTAGATTTTATTTCTTTATTTTTAGACAAAGGAGGAGAGGGAGAGAAACATCAATGTGTGGTTGCCTCTCTCGTGCCCCCTACTGGGACCCGGCCCACAACCCAGGCGTGTGCCCTGACTGGGAATCGAACACAGCAACCCTTTAGCTTGCAGGCCAGTGCTCAATCCACTAAGCCATACCAGCCAGGGCTAATCTAGTTTTAAAAGTGAATGGGATAATTTGGAGACAAGAGATTCACTTACACTGACAGCAAGGGTGGATCCAAGATATTTTATGAAGTACAATTGGCAGCTGTGGGGTCAATACACGGCTTTCCTACCACCTGTGATGAGAGCTGGCCAGGGGTCCCCTAGCCAGAAGGAATGTGTATTGTTTTGGGGGTGGATTGTAACTTCTCCCTTATCTCCTTTTGAGAGCAGCTTCTTATCCTGTGACTGCTTCTTGACATTTTCCTTCTGCACGCACATACTGATGTAGCTCCAGGCCACATGTACGTTTGTGCAACCTGAACCCCTGCTGCCTTTGTCTAGGACCTCTTATAATGAGCCTCAGACTGGAGGAGTTGCACTGCCATTGGTACACTCTCCGGTAATGTGAGTAATAAATGGTATATCCACATGTGCTAGTCCACCGGGTGGGGTTTTTTCCCCCCAGGATATCACAAACACTTAAGCAGCTCCCCATTTTGGAGCTCCTGTGCTACAGCAGGATTTGGAAATTGATTGACAAGAGTGTGAGAAAAGGAGCTGGCTGGAGAAAAGAACACATCTGGGGAAAATAATGAATTTACGCTTGAACATGTGAAATTCAAGTTGCCTGTGGGTCATCCAAGTGGCTTGTCAAAGAGACAATTTAATCTACAGGTCTGAAGCTCAGGGGAGAGGCCTAGCCTGTCGATATATATATATATAGGTAGTGTCATCATAGATCATAACTCATCATGTCTCTCTTATCTTAAAATCAAGACCAACAACAAACAAAAAAAGAACCCACTCTAATTCTGCTTTTCACCTGATGTCCCCTCCCAAACTCCTCACACTTGAGTCAGATCTCCATTCCCCTGAACCAGCTGTCATAAGACCAACCAGTCTTCCTATACTATCAAGTGCAAAAACACCTTTGCGTCACTGCATCACCTGAACTCTCAGCCGCATGTGACTGTACTGAGTATTCCCACCTCAAAATCTACTTCTCCCCTGGCCTGGTAGCTCAGTTGGTTACAGTATCATTCTGATATGCCAAGATGGTGGGTATGATTCCAGTCAAGGCAAACACAAGAATCAACCAATGAATACATAAGTGGAACAGCAAATAAATGTTTCTCTCTCTAAAATCAATAAATAAAGTGTTTTTTAAAAATCCACTTCTCCTGGTCTTCATTGCATGACACTAGCTAAACAGGCTTTATACTCCACCCTTGCTCTCTGCTCTCCCCACCAACTGCATAAGAAAATAAAATTGCCAGATGGGCAATCCATCACTTCCCACTGACAACTCTAGTGTGTTCCCTTCTGTAAAAAGCCAATTCCTTTGATTTTGCTCTAGAGCCATTCTTTCTCTCTGCCCAGGGGACCTTGATCCATCACTTGAATATTCTCCTTCTGTGCTTCAACAATTCCCTCTACACCAAGCTTTTCCCACCTTTTATTTTCAAAAGCTTTATTGAGATATAATTCACATTCCATAAGATTCACCCATTTAAAGTATTCACTTTTTACTATATTCACAGAGTTATACAACCATCACCATTAATTTTAGAACACTTATTTTCCCACGAAGAAAACTCACACCTATTAGCAGTCACTCCCTATTTCCCTCCAGCAACCAACTGTCCTCAGCAGCCCTAATTGACTTTCTGTATCAATAGATTTGCCTACCCTGGACATTTCATATAAATGGAACTATACATATGCCCTTTTTTAGTGAATTCTTTCCCTTAGCATGATGTTTTCAAAGTTCATCTGCATAGCAGCATGTGTCAGCACTTCAATCCTTTTCATGGCTCAAGAATATTGCATTGTATGGATAAACCACATTTTATCCATCATCACTTGAAGGAGTTGGGTTGTTTCCACTTTTTAACTATTATGAATAATGCTGCTAGGAACATTTATATACAAATATTTGTTTGAATGCCTGTTTTCAATTCTTTGGGTGTATACTTAAGAGTAGAATTGCTGGGTCATAGTCTATGTTCATACTCTGTGTTTAACTTAAGGGACCATACTATTTTCCAGAGAGACTGCACAAGTTTACATTCCCACCACCAATGTATGAGGGTTCTAGCTGCTCCACATGCCTACCAACACTAGTTTTTTTTATGTTACTATTATAACCATGATACTAGGAGTGAAGTGGTATCATATTATGGTTTTGATTTGCATCTTCCTGATGGCTAATGATGCAGATAATCTCTTGATATGCTTATTTGTACAGTTTATTTGCAGAAATATCTATTTAGATCTTTTGCCCATTTTTAAACTGGGTTTTTTGTATTTTTATTATTGAGTTGTAATAGTTCCATATATATTTTGAATATTAAGTTCTTATATGATTTGCAAGTATTTTCTCACATTTCATAGGTTATCTTTTCACTTTCCTGATGGTATTGTTTGAAGCACAAAAGATTTTTGTAATTTGATAATGTTCAATTTACCTATTGTTTTCTTCAGTTGCTTTGTGCTTTTGGCATCCTAAGAAACCACTGCCAAATCCAAGGTCACAAAGGTTTTCACCTATGTTTCCTACTAAGAGGTTTATAGTTTTACCTCTTATATTTAGATCTTTAGCCCATTTTGAATTAATTTTTATGTGGTGTGAGGTAGGGGTTAAAATTAATTCCTTTCCATGTGAATATCATTTGTTTAAAAAATGATTTTTTTCTCCCACTGAATGATGATATTGGTACCTGTACTGAAAATCAATTGACCGTGGATGCTTGGCTTTATTTCTGAACTCTCAATTTTATTCCGTTGGTCTATCTGTTCTGTTCTTATGCCAGTGCCACACTGTCTTTGTCACTATAATTTTGTATTAAATTTTGAAATCAAGAAATCTAAACTCTCCAAATTTGTTCTTTTTCAAGATCATTCTGACTATCCTGAGTCCCTTGAATTTTGATATGAAATTTAGAATGACCTTGTCAGTTTCTACAAAGAAGCTAGCTGGGATTCTGATAGATCAATTTCAGAAGTATTTCCATCTTAACAATTTGTCTTCCAACCCATGAACATGACATGTCCTTCCATTTTCTTTCAATATTTTAGTTTTCCTCGTGTTTTGCACTTTTTTAAGTTTATTACCAAATATTCTTTTTGATGCTGTTATAAATTACTTTAATTTTCAAATTATTCATTGTTAATGTACAATACCCAACAGATTTTCTTTATTGATCTTGTATCCTGTAACTTTGCTGAATTTGTTCTGGCAGTTTTATTAAGAAATTTCTTAGGATTGTCTATATATAAGATCATGTCATGCACAAGTAAGCATAGCTTTATTCGTTCATTTCCAGTCTGAATGCTTTTTCTTGCTTAATTGCCCTGGCTAGAACTTCTAGTACAATGAAAATAGAAACGGCACAAACAGGCACCCTTGTGTTGTTCCCAAATTTAGGGGGGAAGCTTTGTCTTTTATATATGTATTAGTTGTGGGTTTTCCCAAGTGCTCTGCATCACATTGAAGAAGTTCTCTGCCAGACTGTTTTTTACTGTGTTTATCATGAAAAGGTACTGGATTTAATCAAATACTTTTTATGTATCCATTAAGATGATACAGGGGTTTTCCCCTTTATTTTATCAATAATGGTGTCCCAGCTTCTTTTTATTTTAGTTAAAATCTTAGGAGGATGCTCAAGGTAAAACACAGTGTAGGAGTTGCTCTGGTTGAAGCAGGAAGGGATGCCAAATTGGGGTGCCAAATTGGCCCACCAGTAATTTCCTCCCAAATAGTGCTGGGCCCCACAGGATACTAAGTATGGGCCCAAGAACAAACAGACCCCATTGTTTTCTCACCCAAAAGTCTTTGTTGAGCTGGCTGTCAGCCAACTAAGCCCCAACCTTTGGCTTTAGGAAGCCCTAGTTAGCAGGGCTGACTGATTACAAACAGCCACTTTAGCATTCTGGACATTGAATGTTTATCCTGGCATAGAACTCCACAGCCAATTCCTCCCTATACCTGCCTGAAGGGGTTGATCTAGGGGCTTTGAAGTACTTAACACTTGTCCTTTTTGATGTTATCTTTCCATTAAATGTTAGTTTGGACCTGTGGTTACAGCAAAGCTTGTACTTCTAAAACCTTGATTACAATCAACCCAAAATACAGAGGCTCAGTATCTCAAACAGATTGCAGACAGCCCACTGATTACTTTTGGGGATGACTAATTAAGAAACTTTATTACAGAAAATGAACGCATCCAACGTCCCCAAATACATTTGTGGTAATAGACACACAGGAGACACAGACAATAGTTGCTACATCACAGCCTTGCTCTTCCCAAAGGATAAAACACCATTCAAGAACAGAGTGAGGGGTTTGGAAAGGAGATGGTTAGAGAAAGCAGGTATTGTCCTTTAGATTTAAAAAAAAAAATAGCAGGTTGACATTGCAAGAGTACCTACTGTGGGCCCAGAAATCAAGTTAAGCCTAAGCCTTACCGTAGTGACACCATGCCCCTTACCACACTTCAGAGAAGCTAGAGAACATTATTCCATCAGGAGAAGCAATTTTGGGATGAGTAGTGGTCTTGTTGCAAGCAAATGAGCCAAATGGACTTGACTCTTTAGAGCTAAATGTCTGCTTAATCAAAGATCACTGACAGCTTCCCTACTTCTGTATAGCAGCAGTCACCCCCTTCCATAGTTGGCATGTTTAGTTACAACCATCTAGAGGGACACCCCTTAGTAGAAACCTTTGTGACAAGTTGAGCTTCTCTTCCATATGTGACAAGGTTGTCCACAGCTTCCCAATCTTAGCATTGCAGTGTTGGGCAGCAGCAGCTTCAGACTGCAATGCCAAGGGATAGCTGGAGGAAAGTAACAAGGGCATGGCTGAAGCAGGAGGGGCAATCCTGGAACAAGTGCAAGTGCCTTTGGGCAAACCTCAGGACCAAGGGATTTTTTTTTATTAATGGTCATGTTATAGAACCAGAAAAACACATTTCGGACACAGTTCTGATGTGAGAAGGAAAGGCTATGAATACAGATTAGAGATCAGAGATCAGGCCAGGGACCATGACTATGACTTGTACCCACCCAGGATCTGACAGGGTGGAGAGGACACCATCTGCAGACATGCCAAGTTTCCAAATAGTCAATTTTAACAGAAAACTGCCTTCTCATGAGTAAGATCATTAAAACACTCCCAAGTGCTTCCCAACCTCAAACATCCTTATCTGTGTGTCAATACTAGGCAATGTCAACATTCACCCATAACATAGTACTCTTCATTACTGCCAACAGTTGAGATGTACACATCAGCCCTCAAAATATTTAGTATCACCATTTGGCCACTGTGGCCATCACCCCTCACCCCAACTTGAACAAAATGTTATTACACCATCTACCAACATGAATTAATCACTGAAACACAAATCAAGCTTCAAGTTTAAGAACATTTAACAATCCATGTTTTCAATGAAGGAGCTAACATCTTGTGTAGGCCATTCTACTGTCCATATGATGTATTTAAGTGCTTAGAAACAATTGATTCCATCAGTCTGCCTCACAGGTGCCCCAACACCAAGCCTGCAATGGGAACCCAAGCAATCTTTCTTTGATTGTTTGGTTTCTTGAAGTGTGTGTGTAGGATGGGGGGGGGGGAAGAGAGATACTGCTCCCTACCCAACCTGTACCACTGGGGTCCAAGAGACAGAAGCAGCAACTCAAGACATCAATTGTTGAGTGGACCAAATGTTCTAGGTTGGAGGGAGAAAATTAATGAAGCCTGAATATTTGACACATCATACCCTCAGGAAGTTGTTTTTGCTGTTTAGCAATGAATTTGGCTCATGTCAGTGGTGAGGCAGGAGGCAAATAAATTTAATGTTGTAGTAGCCTCAATCCTAACCACCCACCTTCCTGAACCTCTAAAGGCTACTTAACCTTGCCTGTGTCAAGTTATCTTAGCTCCTACATTCAATAGTTTAGACCTCGTATTAACGCCATTCAGATACAAATAAAATCACACAGTAGCTTCAAGTACCCCTCTTCCATCTCATCTCAAGCTAGCCACATTGTTACTAGATTTACAGTGAGGCTAGTCACCAAATACAGTGGAGTGGGTTGTTCTATCACTAACACTGCTGAGTCAGAAATTTAGACTGTTATAATAGAGAACAGCTTTAAAAATGTAATACTGTTTATTTAACTTCAAAACATCTCAGCATTCTAAACATACAAAAAAATAACAAAATGTTTCAAATTGTGTTTAGTACAGAAGGTTCTTCAACTTTCATTGATGCAGTGACTCTTCACTTTGCTGACAATGAAGAGTTCTAGTTTGTTTAAAAACAGTTTAAAACTACTGCACTTAACTAAAAAAGATCCAAACACTTCTCATGCCAGCTGACCCCCCCCCTCTTCCACAGCTAAAAATGGCAGAATGCTATGTCACTATATACAAAAACAAAACAACCTGAAGCTAAATGGATGCCCACTGCAGTGTCCACAGGTCCAGCCTCACAGTGCATGCCCTGAGCTACAGCCCCTCCAAAAGGCATCTTCCCCACAGCCTCAACGCCAAGCAAAGAGCATCAAGAGCTTGTCTCGGTTGTTTTGTTCTTTTTACAAACTATAGATATGTACAGTTGATAACTCAGGATTTCTAGCCAATAACCATATAGTTAACACCACCTTACAGATTAAAAAAAGAAAATGCCAGGAACATCTTTAAATGCCTTGTCATACCAACAGCAAAGTGCACAGAGTGAGGAGAACATGAGAGCCTTTTCATTTTAAAAATGTTTGGAAATATGTACAACTTTGATACAGTTTCAGGGTGCTCCAGACACCCATTACCACTTCATGTAAACCACTGACAATTTCTAGAGCACTTTGAAAGACTACATATGATCATGATCCAATTGTGTAATTAATCCTAATGAGGGCAACAGACACCTCTCAAATAAGAGCTGTGTCAATTACGGCGCTCCCCTACTCTAAGGTATTCACAAGGAGACAGATAAACAGTTTTTTTATTCATCCTCCTCCTCCTCCTCCTCCTCCTCCTCCTCCTCCTCTTCTTCCTCCTCTTCCTCCTCATCTTCTTCGTCTTCCTCTTCCACCTTTTTCCGAGCAACTTTAGCGGGACCCTTTGCACCATCAAATTTTCCTTTAGACTTATAGTCAGCGACATCCTGGAAGGAACAGGACACATTCCAAATGAGGAGACAAGCTCTCCTGCCATTATTTTAGCACAGGGTAGAAACATACTGTCCCTGTCTCAGAATAAGAAAGCAGGAGTTCAAAACAGTACAGGGCTGCTATCTGAAGTATTTGTTTCCTGATACAAATTTGGTTATCAACCATTCAAATTTAAAAGGTAATAGTTGATCAAGTAGCCTTTAACTCATGTTAATAGCACTATCTAATCCCATGCCAATAACATCCCATATTATCCTATTTTTTAACACTGCCTGAAGTTGTCCCAAATACAAAGATCTGTCAGAAGCCTGAACACCAGCACAAGTGGCTGATCTTGAGTGGAGATGAGCCCTCACATGCTTTGCTAGTTACTCAGCCCAGCAAAGCAGCCTTCTGCCCCACAACCCCTCATACCCAGGGCACCTGACTGCTCGCCATCCAGACCACACACACTCTCGCCCACCTCACCTTCTCATACTTCTCCTTCAGCTTTGCAGCCTTATTGTTGTAAGGCTGCTTTTCACTGTCACTTAAGTTATTCCACATCTCTCCCAGCTTCTTTGCCACATCTCCAATAGAGATGCCAGGGTTTGTAGATTTGATCTTGGGGCGGAATTCTGAACAGAATAGGAAGAATCCAGACCTTGAGGGAGAAAATATATAAATTATATGAGAACACTCAAAAACGTGAGCTTAAGTCAAAATCCCATGGTCCTGGGTGCACACACTTCCTACCACTAAGACTCCCACCTACGGTGAAGAAATGCATGATATCATATACAGTTTCAAAGTTGTAGATTCTAGAATATTTAAGCTGCTTTAGAAATATATAGTGGTTTCTCAGTCTATCAGTTATTAGGCAAAGGGTAGAGAATGTACCTAAGGATGCTGACACCTCAAACTAAACTGCCTGCTTCCCAGTGGAAAGGCCAACAGGCAACCACCAGGCACACACAGCTCACAAGCACCTCGAGCTCAAAATACAGAATATTTTGCAGAGGTACCCTGACATTTTTTAGGTAAAGTATCTGCTTAAAATCTTTCAAGCAGAAGGAAAGCTCTTCGTGGTTGTCCTGAATCCTCCGGTCACTTACGGTGGCCTTTTGGGGGCATTGGGGTCCTTCTTCTTCTTGCCTCCTTTAGCTGGCCCATAATCCTTCATTTCCCGATCATAGCGTACTTTATCTGCTTTTGCCATCTCATCAAATTTAGATTTCTCTTTCCCCGACATTGTCTGCAAAGAACAGGATCTGTTAAATTCCTCAATGCAGTGAACACATACCTGTTTGGGTTGTCCTATAATTAAAGTGGCAGCTGCTTTAACCACTTGCAAAAGAGGATGAAAGCTTTAAACCCTTCTAGAGTCTTAAAAAATAAAAGCGTACATACAAAATTCTAAAAACATGCAAGATGTGTCTAAGTGAAGAGGAAGAAAACAGCCACCTGGGGCTACTCTAAGGGTAAATAACACCAAAGTATGAAATCCAACTAATAGTAGCTTGAAGGATACAAACAAAAATACCTTCCACCTCTCAGAGCACTTCTTGGAAAATTCTGCAAAATTGACAGGAACCTCTGGGTTTTTCTTCTTATGTTCCTCTCTGCATGTCTGCACAAAGAAGGCATAAGCAGACATCTTGCCCTTTGGCTTCTTGGGATCACCTTTAGCCATCCTGACTGATGGATGGCAGGAAAAGAAACAAAGGAAAACAATTCCAATGAATACAACAGAACTACAAGACATACTAAAGGCAGGGTAAAATTAAAATTTAGGTTGCTCTTAGGAAACAAACCCCCCCATGCCTGACATCACTGGCAAGCAAAGACAGACTGGGGAGGAAATGAGCTTCACTGCCACTTGTCATTTAACTTTTGACCAGCATGAAGCATGCAGGTTTGTGAGTTACTTCTCCAAGAGTGATCAAGTTCTCCAAATGGAACCGACCCAACTGGCTTAACTACATTCTGACTCGGAAATACATTTTTGGAAACTACAACCACCAAGCAGAGAGGACACATTTGTAGGCAGTGCAGGCTGGTAGAAGCTTGAAATCAATGACTTAAAACTAGCTGGTCATCTGTTTTACTCCCATGGTAGAAACAAAAATACTGTCACTGCTGCTAAACACAGATCAAAGCATAACTGTAAATAGAGAAAATTTGGCATTTCACTCTTGTTGATGCATTTGGACTTACAAAAAATGGCTTTTACAAGAATGGTGATATAGCAAGTGAGCAGATATCCCTGTATTAATTCACATCTGTCTCCTCGTCATTATCTACATGGGCAGGGGATACCAAAAGGGATAGTCCTGCTCATCTGGTAAAGCAGAATTCATGTCCAACCAGAAATACTTTCTCCAAAGTTTCCAAATAAAAAATGCAGCTGTGGCGTGTCATCGTCCCTGTCCCCCCCACCCCAGCTTCCCGCCATCTTTTCCTTTTCCCACACCCAAGGTCATCATGTAAAACTAAAGCACTGCCCTTTGCAGGAACCATCCGAGGGACTGCATTAGGGCCCCACAGTGTCTGCACGGGTGGGACAGGACAGAACGCAGGGGAGCCCCAGGCCGGCAGCGGGCACCTGGGCACGGTCAGGTGCTGGGTCACCCGGACACCCATAATTCACCTTCCATTTTGTCAAAAGCTTCGTGATGAAAGAAAGTGCCCCTGAAATACACTGTTGCCTTCCCAGGGAGACGGGTGGGGCCGGGGACAGAGGTAGCACCAGTGCTCTGGAGGCGCGGAGCCCAGCCAGCAGCGGCCAAAGTGATGGTGGCGCCCGCCGTGCCTCCAAGCCCCACTTGCTAAAATGGCTGATCCGCGAGCAGTGGGCACAGGCGGCGGTGGCGAACAAAGCCGTCCGGCCCCACCACTGCCGCCGCCGCCCGCTCCTCAGCCCCCATCCTACCCCGCCCCGCCCTGGCCCGGGTGCCCCGGGGGCGCCCAGATGGACACCCCCGCCCCACGCCCGCTGGCGCGGGTCGCATTCCTGGGGATAACAAAGGCGCTGTGCAGCCATGACGCTCCACAGCGCTGCGGCCCGCGGCAGCGCCCCTGGCCCTCCACGCCACCAGCCCCTGGCCACTGGCGCTTCGACCAAAGCCAGAGCCCGCTCGGGAACCCCGACCTGTCCACCCCTCCCCAGAGCCCATCACGCGCCAGCCATGTTAGTGAGGCGGTGGCGGCGGTGCCCCGCGGGCAGGCGCCGGGGGGGAGGGGGGGGCGGCCGGCCCGCCCACCCCACCCCCGACCTCCGTCCGCTCCTGAGACGGCCATGTTAATGCAAAAGAGACAGTGCAGCTTGCGGACCCGCACGGTGCTCGGCAGAGGCGGACAGCGAAGTTTGCTTACGCCGCAGCCCCCCGTGGACAACGGCAGCCCGCACCCCCGAGGCGGCCGTCCTGGGCCGGGGAGCACCCTGCCCCCTTCTCAAAGCCAACGCCAGGAGGCGGGACGCGTGCCTCGGGAGCCCGCAGCCGCCCCTCGGCTCGCGCTTCCACTGCCACTGCCCCAACATCTGACCTCAGGGGGTCTGAGCCCCGCTGCGCGGCCCAAGGGGGCCGTGGCCAAAAGTGGCTCCGCGAAAGGAGCCTACCCTAGACTGCGGGGAGGTCGGAATGAAGCACTGGAAAGTTGAAACACCTGAATTGCTTCTTCTTTCCCAGTCGCCTAGGTAGAAGGAAGGCGGAGGGGTTGGGAAGGGCGAGAAGAGGAGAGGCAGGAGGCGGCGGCAACGCGTCCCGCTGGCCGCGGCGCGGACTGGAAAGTTGTGCAGACGCTGCGGCGGCGGCAGTGGCGGTGGCGGGCGCGGGCGCCGGCGGCGGAAACGTACCTGTATTGTTCGCTAGTCTGGGCAGCGCAGGGCACGACGCGAGGCTCAGAGCTCGCCAGCCTCGCGCTAGCTGCCTCCACGAGAGCCGCCTGATTGGCCAGCGGGCTCTGCCGTTTAAAACAGCCTCCTTGCCCGGCCATTGGCTGCGGGCCTCATGCATATTAAACAGGCGCAGGCGCCCATTGGGCACAGCCGCTGGGATCATTCATTCAAACAGAACAACCCGCAGGCGCTAGCTGCGGAGGCAAAAGGGAGGAATAATCTTATTTTCCCAACCTCCACGCCCCCTCCAGGAACTGAGCTAGGATTTCAAAGGACTTTGGAGTTGTAGCCGCGCCATTCCCTGCGGCCTCGGCCTCCGGCGTGGGAAAGTGAGTTCGAGCCCTGCTGCGCTGCCCTCTGCTCCCTCCGCCTCGGGGCCTTCACGTCCCCGCCCCCGGCCCTAGGCCCCCAGGCTGTCTCCTAGCCTCGGAAAACCTCCAGGGGGCATCGGGCGAGGGTCAACTGTCCTCCACCTCCGCCCGGTTCTGTCGCGGCTGCGTGGCTGCGCAGCTGGGGTCTCGCCGCAGCTCCTTAGCCGGGCGCTCGGGGTTTCACCGTTGAACCGCCCGAGAGAAACCTGACTCCCCTCCTAAGGATCCTGCTTGACTGGGCTCTATGAACTAATTGCCAGAAAGTTGGTTGTGCCTGCAATTGCGGAAACATTGAGCTAGGTGGGCTAGAGGAAGAAAGCAGAGTTTGGCAAAAGCACAGAAATCGCGAGAAATTGTAGTTCTGTATTGCGGGAGTCACCTCTTCACTGCCAGAGTTCAGGCCTACAGTCCCTCCGCGGTCCTGACACACACCCAGGTGAAGAATAGAAGTTCTTGGAAAGAATGAATGGAATTTGACTTGACTTAGCCTCCTCAGCTTTGCCACTGCCTAGTGGAATGGGCTTGAGAAATCACTTCTTTTAGAGGACTCATGCGATGGTTTTCAAAGTGAGGGGGGTAGGCAGTGTTAACTTTAAGGAATGTTTGAAAATGCCCCATGAGTGAGAGTTGTTGCTGGAGTTTTTAGTAAGAGGAGAGGATAGCCAGGCATGTTAAATGTCCTGCATTGGGCAAGGCAAGCCACACGGAAGAAATGGCCCACTACAAATACTGGTATCAACCCTGTTGAAAAATATTGGAGGGCCTTTCCTTCTTTGAGCTTCCTAGAAAGAATGGAAGAAGGAAGGGTGAGGAAAAGTTGCACATTTTATGGGTTGAAATTTGGAGAAAATAATGAAAGAGGCACATCACGAGTTCTAAGTTCCCTTTCCAAAGCACTTTGAACCTACCAAGATAGCCAGCTATTTATAATCCCCATATTTAGAAATGAGACCAAAAGATGAGTTTTCCAAATGCTGTTTCCAGAAACTGGCTACGTTTGAGGTGCTTGAGGGAGCTGATATCACAAGGCAACTACCTCCCCATCCCCACCCAGTTCTTGCCAACTCCTCTGAGCCTCCTATGCAAGCCTGAGCCTCTGCAGCTGGCACTGCTAGGCTTCCATCATTAGGGATCCAACTGAGACCAAAAGGCAAAGGCACTGCTGCTTTAACCAGAGCCTGCAGGTATCAAGTCACCTTCCTTTAAGTCCCCAATTTCCAGACTTTTGGGAATGAGGTCATTTTAAGGCCACCTCTCTAATCCTCAAGCCATGTTGGAGCTAACTGAGTGGCTGCCTACCTCCTGCTCACGTACCCTCACTCACAGGGAGCTTACCACCTCCCTTCTGGGCTTTTTCTGTCTTGGGCAATCTCTGAGCCTTTGGGTCACCGTCCTACCCACAATCCAATACCTCACCCTTTAGAGATTTCCTGGCAGAGCAGGTCTTTTCTCTAGGCAGACAGCTCCAGTTTCTTCTATGACCAGGTTCCCAGGGTCTAACCTGCCCAGACCACTCCCTTTTCCCCTGTCTCCACCCTTCTCAAAGGGGAGCAGGGTCTCCAGATATGATCTGGCCAGTACTTCCCCTCTGCTAGAGTACCCTAGCCTCCATGTTGTTAGGCTTTCCTAGGCCAGAGATGCAAGTTGGGGTCTCAGGCAGGACAGGGATCTGTTTCTGATCCAGTCACTGCCCAGAATCCTGACCACACTGGGAAACTGCACTTACTAGTTGTCAGGCACCAAGGTGGAAGAACCAGGGTAGTCAGCTACAAAGCCCACCAGGCACTATTGGGGCCCTGAGTGGATAGTGAGGGTCACACAAGCAGCATATGTGTTCATATTCACACCCAGGCACACACAGAGCAATCCCAGAGATAGTGGCATGAAGGTGAATCCAGAGAATAAGAGTATCTCCCAACCAGAAGAGAATTTACAGTAAGTGGTGTCCAGATACACCACCCCAGACCCATTTTTTCCCACCTGCTGCCACAGCCCTGCCCATGGGTCTCCTATTTCTGTGTACCTACTTCGAAGGATGAAAGGTTTGCGCTTATTCAGAGAAACTATTTCCATCTCTGCTTCTGAAAAAGCTCCTCTTTCTATCAAGCTGAAGCACTAGGCATGAAGCTTAAACCCGTGGTTGCCGTCATCAGAACTTCACAGAACATGATTATGACATCACTGAGTGAGCATGTCAGAGATCTGAAGATGGCTACTCTGTTTCCCTGCTCCTGGCCCCACAAACACACATATCACCCCAAGTCTCCATGTCTTCTTTGGGCTAGGTAGCCCTGATTCCTCCATCCCTTCCCCTTGAGCTTCAGTCTGGAGGCTCCTCACAGCCTGATTTTCTCCTCAGTGCTGCCCATGTGTGGCAGCATGCCTAAGCACAAGCTGTGGCTTTGCGGGTTCCTACCTCAGCAGAAACTCATAATTCAATTCCATGTACATGTATTGAATGCCTACTAATAAATAACAGAGGGTCAATGAAGTGTCATGGGGGTGGGGCTAGAAGGCAGGAGCAAGGCAGTGGCTTTGGGCTCTGACTTCTTGGTGTTCCTTCTGCAACATCACCTCATGTCTCACAGCTTCAGTGTACTCTGTCAAAGGTGATTCAAGCCCTGGCCAGGTGTGTCAGTTGGTTGGAGCATCATCCTATACACCAAAAGGTTGTGGGTTTGATTTCCAGTCAGGGATTGTACGAGATACAACAGATCAGTCTCTCTCTCTCTCTCTCGCTCTCTCTCTCGCTCTCCCTCCCTCCCTCCCTCCCCTTCGTCTCTCTCTAAAATCAATAAACATCTTTTGAGGTGAAGATTTCTTAAAAATGGTAATTCAACCCACCTTACCCACCCCAGCTATTGTCCCATCTCCTTGTGAGGGAGGGAGGGTGTGAGTGAAGCTGGTCTGAGTGTCACCAGTAAAAGGCCACCTAGAGAATGGCTAAAGACACATCTGGAAGGTGAAAAAGGTGACAGAAAGTCAGGGTTGCCTGAGAAAGTTCTGAACTCAAGGACCCCCAGGCAGACTGCCTCTTCTGTAACAAAGCTTAGTGCCTAGTGGTGGCTTGGGTGTAGGTTCAACTGGTCGAGGCAATGAGGGTACTCTGGACCTCTGCCTTGGTCCTCCCTAGAAAGTACCTTAACCACGCCAGTTACCTGTGAGGCCAAACCCCAAGAAAACCCCATCACACAGCAGTACCTCAAAGTAGAACTCTGTAAGCTTCTTGGCTACCTAGAGACATTAGGAAAATGTTGCAAGTGAATAGGAAATAGGACAAAGAATGACAAATGTTATTTAAAGAGGTTTTGGTTCTTGCCAGTTCAAGCCCTTCAAAAGATTAAAGGGAATCTTCATCCAACAGAAACAAAGTCCTAGCCCCCTATACCCACCCCCCATACACACACATCTACACTCACACCTACACCTACCCCTGTCACAGGTCTTCTCCTGGGTGCCGAGGACTTAAAGGTGACATCCCTAAGGACCAACTCAGCCAGCCTCCTTAAAGATCAGTGAATATGCTGCCAGGTGAACATGGGGGGTAAGGGTGGGCCAGATTGTGGAATCGTTTAAAATATGTTAAGGGTACTTGCTGTGAAGGTCTTACAATGAGCATGACGTTTCAGAGGGGGATGTAGGAGCCTTTGTAAATTCATATCTTCACAGATAAAGAATCTAGCTTCTAGGCCTTCCTAGGGTCCTTGCCCCACCCTCTTCACCCCAGGTGACCTATTCAAGGTCTGAAGCCTTACCTCTCCCCTTGGCTTCTGCTCTTGGGTGGGAATTACATTCCAACTTTACTTTTTTGCCATGGGGAGGAAAGTGTTTTTGAATGTAGGTAAGGTCTTGGGTACAATTACAAAAGGTTTGTAGAGTCGAACAGCTGAGAATAAAGATCAGGTGGCATGGGAGCCTCTGGCTGAGCCAGGGCTAGAAGTGTGGTCTCTTGACACTTAGTGTCACATTTGTCCTACCCTTTATAGTTGAGCTCCACCTTTGGTGCAAAAACCATTGGCAAGCTGGCAGGTACAGCCAGTGCCATTGAGAAAATGGGGTTCCAGATTCAGAAGAGCCACATTCAAGAGAGGCCCACAGGAAACTAGCCTCTTCTCAGCCTCTCCTGCCTGCATGGCCACAGGTGTGGCCAAGGGGGCTTGCATAGCAGCCCAGAGCCCAAAGGGCTCCTTCAGCCATGAGACCCTCAGCCATATGCCTGTTACGGCTGGGACAGTCAGGGTTTTGCCTTCCCAGCAGAATGCTGTGGCCAGCCTATGTCTCCTCCACCCATGCGCATTGAGTGAAGAGTGGGCTACTCCTGGTCTCCCTCCCATCCTGGAGATTCTGGTCCTGTGGGGGAATGGCAAGACCCATCCACCTGAAAGGGAAGTGAACACCCAGGCCTCTGAGGCAGCACCAGTGCCACCAGGCCCAATGGGCTGGCTGAGGCTTTTCTAATGACTGAGAGCCAGATGTGGGTGAGCAACCAAAGGGCTTCCTAGGAGTTATTCCCCACTCTGCTGCCTTTGGGAACACAGTCTTGGCCAATACCAGCCCATCCAGGGTCTATGACACCAGGTG